CTATTTCTTGGTCACTTCACCTGTAGGACAGGAACCAGAAGTTCCGTCTTAGCAGGGAGCCACACTTATTCTCACCCAAGCTTCTATGCACAAAACATTTAGGGCCTGGAAGACCTACTTCACTGATTATAATCATAAATATTTAAGAATAATGGCTTAAGAAGCAAAATTAATGTTATCACTGTAAGCAAGTATAATTGTATCTTCAAAAAAGACAGTTCCTAAAGGAATTGTCTATTTAACTTTAAGCAAAATGAAGCAGTCTTTCCTATTAGCCTGCCATTTCATCTGGGGGTAAAAGTAGACTATATTCTACTCAGATGTCTGCATTCATTCATTCATTTATTAAATTTTTAATATTTGGGGGGCTTCTGCTATGTGCCAGCTACTTTATTGGGAATGCAACAGTGAACAAGATGGACATACTCTGTGTCCTAAAATAGCCCCAAGTTTGATTAGTGAAGGAGCTAAGCCTTTCTCTAGACCCAGAACCATCCCAGGAAGAGTAATAATTTTTTGTTGTTGGATGTCACTGAGTCAGTTACAACTCATGGCGACCCTGTGTACAACAGAATGAAACACTGCCCAGCCCTACATCATCCTCGTAGCTGTTGCTGTGTTTGAGCCCATCGTTGCAGCCACTGTGTCAGTCCATCTGGTTGAGTGTCATGTTCTTTTTTTTGCCGTCTCTCTACTTTATCAAGCATGATGCCCTTCTTCAGGGACTGGTCCTTCCTGATAACATGACCAAAGTATGAGTGACAAAATCTCACCATCCTTACCTCTTTTTTTTTTTTTTTTACTGTATTTTTAAAACGAGTTTTTTATTGTGATTTGGGTGCAAATTTATAAGTAGATTCCTTTTTCTCAACAGTTCATGCACATTTGGTTCCACAGTCCCGATTACTATTCCCAACCACACAAAGCCCTCCTCCCATCTCTTCCCTGTGACTGCCCCTTCCCTATGCCCTTCTTATCTGTGCATTCTTGTCTGTCCGGCTTTCTCTCTATGCAAATGTTCCCTTCGGATGTCTCATGGTTGATTGATCTTAGGTGGTGAATCTCCCTGGGGTAGGTGTTCTGCTTGTAGGTCTTTCTACTGTTTGGCTGAGAGCTAATCCACGGAGGTGAGTCCAGTTCCAGGCCCAAAGGATAACCCGGGACCATAGTCTTGAGGGTTCTACCAGTCTCTGTCTGACCGGTAATTCTGGTCATTTTTGTGTTTTTGAATTTTGTGCCACATTTTTGCTCTCACTCCATCCAAGATCTCCAGTTTGATCCTTTTCTGAGTGGTTGGCATTGGTAGCCAGGCACCATCTTGTTCTTCTGGTCTCAGGGTCATGAAGGCTGAGGTCACCATGATCCATCATCTCCTTGGACTTACTATTTCCAGATGACTTTGATTTTCTTCACTCTTCTTGCTCCAGATGAGGAGAGACCAATAGTTGCATCTTAGATGGCCACTTGATAGCTTTTAAGACCCCATTTGCTGCTCATCAAAGTAGAATGTAGAACAAGATTTTTATATACTATGTTGTGCCAATTGAGCATGATGTCCCCCGAGACTATTTCCCCAAGCCTATAGATCCAGTGAGCCTCTCCTTCAAGGTGTTTGGTTTTCTCTCAGAAGCTACTCTAATGTTGTCCTCTGTTACTTCTGTAATATATATGGATATTTTTGTAGTACAAGTTCATAGGTAAGACTATCTTTGGCCAAATCTTTCCTCGGTCTTGGATATATTCCTATCCACCTACCCACACCTGATCTTCTCATGTATGTATTCACCCACAGCCTAGTGCTGGCTGCCACTGGTAATGCAGTATTGTACATGTAATAGTTTTTGCCTCTGTTATCTATATCTTTTGTGTATGTTTCTGTGTCCTCCTTTCCCCTGTTGTCATTGTGCTGGCCACATACTGTTGTTATATTGCCTTTCCCTTCACCCAAATCAACACGTGACTCTTAACTAGTAAGAAAATTTCCCTTCCCTCCCCTCACATCCCTGGTAACCAACAAAGTAAATTTCCTTCCCTGTGTAAACCTTTCCTTGATTTTTTACAATAATGGACTCATATAATATTTGTCCTTCTGTGATTGATTTATTTCACTCAGCATAATGTCCTCCAAATTCATCCTTTTTTCTTTTTTAACTTTTTATTGTGATTTTGGGGAAATTTTACAAAGCAGATTTATTTTACATTCAACAGTTCATACACATTTTGTTTTGTGACACTGGTTATATTCCCCACAGTGTAACAGTTCTCTTCCCCCTTCCTCCCTGTGGTTGCCCTTCCCCTGTGTCCTCCTTGCCTGTGCATTCTTGCCTCCCTAGCTTTCTTCCTGTGCAAATGCTGCCCTTCTGATCTCCCATGGTAGATTGTTCTAAGGAGTGCAGCTCCCTGGTGTAGGTGTTCAGCTCATAGGCTTGTCTATTGTTTGGCTAAGAGTTAAGCCATGGGAATGAGTTCCTCTCCAGGCCTGAAGGGTGACTAGGGGCCTCCTCTTCTCTATAAACAAATTTGTTGCCATTGAGTCAATTCTGACTCATAGCGACCCCCACCGGGTTTCTGTAAATCTTTACAGAAGTAGATTGTCCTATCTTCCTTTCTTCCTTCTGTGGAGCAGCTGGTAGGTTTGAACTGCCACCCTTCTGGTTAGCAGTCAAATACCTTCGGCACTAGACCACCAGGGCTCCTCTCTATAACATTTGTAATAGTCATGAGCATATTACTCATTCTGTAAAATGTTGCAAAATTACCTCTGACTATGAACTTTACCTGATTAACTTTATTTAACCCAGTTACCCAAATAGCTATTAACATCTGAAGAAAGTCATGTTTCAAGGAACAAGTTGGATAAACTGCACTGGAAAGAGACTTAACCTCAGAGAAAGATTTAAATCACTAATGATACGTATATTTTGTTGTTGTTAAGTGCCATCGAGTCAGACCTGACTCATAGCGACCCATCCTTGGGTTTCCGAGGCAGTATCATTACGGAAGTAGATTGCCCCATCTTCCTTCCGAGGAGTGGCTGGTGGGTTTGAACCGCCAACCTTCTGGTTAGCAGGCAAGTGCCTTAGCCACTATGCTACCAGAGCTCCCAAATTGTATAAAAATTTGCTTTTATTAGAAACCTTAAAACGTATATAAGATACCTTGTATTATAAAAAAAAGATTGCCATCAAATCAATTCCAACTCATAGTGACCCTATAGGATGGATAGGACCTTATAGCACTGCCACAGTGTTTCCAAGGCTGAAATCTTTATGGAAGCAGACTGCCATGACTTTCTCTTGTGGAGCCACTGGTGGGTTCAAGCTGCCAACCTTTCTGTTGCAGCCAAGCACTTGAACACTGCGCCACCAGGGCACCTTAAAAATATCTCTGGAGTCCTCAAAAACAGCTTCTGAGCAGGTGCACAGTCATACTTACTCAGATTACTATCAAGTTGTTAGTTATGCTCTTGGATTAGGAAATAGAGACACTGGTTTGGTGTGCCAGGATGAGAGCCATACGGTGGGGTTCCATGAGCCAGTGGGGCCTAGTTGGACCCTCTGTAGTTGCCTATTTTAGCCAGACGAATAGCACACTTGATGTTTCAGTGCCCCCTGGGGGCCACCAAGATATCACACAGGAGTTACTGCATTAAATGGATGATGCAGCATTATGAATATTCCTCAAGGCAGGGATGGGAAAGGTGGAAAGAGACCTGAAGAGCAAGATCTCAAAAAATAAGTAAAAGGTTAGAACTCCCTGAAACAAAAGATGGGAGTCTTTTTGGCCTCTAGAGTGCTGGCAAACTACCAACTAGCCTAAAACAATTTATTGGTGCAAAGGAAAGCTGACACAGTCACATAAAGGATTAGAAAAAAGGAATAGATAGGGTTAAAAACATGGATACAGTGAAGAGGGGAGGATGTTAAACAGGTGATGACTGAGGTGGGGTCTAGGGCAGAAGTTGTCTGGAGGAAGAGAAATAAGGAACATCAGTTTTCCCTGTTGGAAAGATGAGGTTTTTTAAAATAGCACCTCTACCATGGAGGGCTTGCATTTAAAAACTATTCCTTTGTGTTCAGATGAGGGCTTTGATAGAAGATGTCATGGACACCACAGATAGGTGAGAGAAGGTGAGGGATTAACAGACTTCTAGGTACACAGTGTTCTCGTTAGCGTGGTCTCCATATTTTGCAAGATTTGTACTTCATTGGGGAATAATTATGTTCAAGAACTACTTTGGCTACTAGCCTATAGAAAAACCATATTGCAGTAATGGAAATTGCATTATTTGGACCCAAACCCATTTCCACCAAGTCAGTTTTAACTCATACTGACCCTATAAGACAGAGTAAAATGCTGCATAGGGTTTCCAGGACTTTAATCTTTAAAGAAGTAGACTGCCACATCTTTCTCCAGTGGAGCAGTTGGTGGGTTCAAAGCACCAACCTTTTGGTTAAGCAGTTGAAAACTCAATCACTGCACCACCAGGGCTCATTCTTTGGATAGGAAGTAGAAAATACAGAGTCTCTGTCGTAAATTGGTTCAGCTGTCAGTCAAATGCCTCTTTTTTTCTTAAGTTTGCATTATTACTGCCTTTTATTATCAGTATCTTTACAAATACAATCTTTATTTGTCTTTGGGAGTTGGAAACATTACATATAAACAACTGGGAGTGAACATCTGAGAGTGATAACATCAGCAAATTATGCACTGCAACATTGTATGTAGTACATATTACTAATGATAAGGTATACCAAAAAAAAGACAGTTGTAAGTGGAGTTTGTTGTAACTCAAATGTGTCATAAGTCAGGTACTACTTGTATATATAAATGGAGCATTTTCTCAGTTTACTCTTAGGTACACCTGTGATATAATTGTTTGTGTTTATCACTTTGTGTATTTTCACTTGCTCTGATTGACAGTTTCAATCTTATTCTAAAGAGCCTGTTTGCCGAAACACTTTGACTATTAATAACACACATTCTGTTGTCCATTTCAGTCCTAATCTATGAACCAGAAAATCCTGAGGCCAAGGAGTTTTTCCCACTTATTGAAGAAATGTTACTGATGGGTAAATTTAAAAATTGAAATCCCTTCTTTCTCATAGAACTATGAGCCATCACTATTTTAAAGCTCATTATCCTGGGAGATTGGTACAGTGCATCTTCTCAAAGTAGTTACGAAAAGGGTCAATGGCTGCCTTGGATGATTTAATGAAAACTAACTTGTCCTCTGTCGATATGGTCACGATGACCCCTTCTCTCTTTGGAGTAGAACTGCCAATGCTAAGCAGACTTCTCAGGCACCAGGCACTGGGAACAGACAAGAGTTTCCAGAGGGAGCAGGATGTGTTAATCACCCTTATGTATTAACTTATCCCACAATTCCAAGGAAAGCCAATACCCTATGAACTCTCCTAAATCTCACTTCCTCTTACTCTGTTTTGGTAAGAATTTCATTGACAATAGATTCTAAATTAACTTTACATCCACAAACATCTTTATGTCAGCAAGAATATGTTTCTTTGTATGGCTTCTTTGACCCTACATATGGTTAGCAAAGTCCCACTCAGTTTTATCATGTTCCAAAGAGTATGTATTTCTTGGTAGAGGGAGGAGCAAGGAAAATTCTGATTTTTGAAAGAGTGGAAATATTAAGAAGCATTTTAAGCAATTCTGTACCTTTCTGTGGCAGAGAAAGCTGAGAGTCTGGAGGAAGATGATGAAGACAGTGAAGAAGACAGTAGCATTGAGAGCGAAGGAGAAAGCAGCGAGGAGTCCAGTGAAGAGAGCTCTGATGAATGTGAAGATGAGTGATGAGTGTTACTGCTGTGGTTTAAGCTTTATGCCTTCCCATTAATGCATACCATGGAAATATAAAGACGAGAACTGTATTTTGTCTGATTGTTCTTTATATGATGCAGAGTTCCTTCTAATTTACCTATCTTCTCAGTTTGAGCTCCTTTATATGTAGGCCTCACCTTAATGTGAGTTCCTCAGAGAGGAAAACAGTAATTACAAATAACTTACATAGCACCAACTACATGTCAGGTACTGTTCAAGCTACTTTACACATATTAATTAATTTAATTCAACAATCCCATGAGGTAGTACTGTTATACCCATTCTAGAGAAGATGGTGGGAGCTGTGGTAGCATAGTGCCTAAGGCACTTGACTGCTAACCAGAGGCTGGCTGTTCAAACCCACCAGCCACTCCTCAGAAGGAAGGTTGTTGGGCAATCTACTTCCATAGTGATACTGCCTTGGAAACCCAAGGAGGCATCACTATGAGTCGGATCTGACTCGATGGCATACAACAACAGAGAAGATGGCAGTTCATTTGCGCAAGTTGAGTATGGGAAGTGTATTAGCGTACTATGACTGCTGTAACAGATTACCACAACTTAATCGTTTACAACAGTACAAATCTATCATCTTAATAATTCTGGAGGTCTGAAGTTCTGGAGGTCAAAATCTGTCTCCCTCACTTACTCACTGCTGTCCAGTCGATTCTGACTCATAGCGACCCCTCCTTGGGTTTCTGAAGCGATATCTCTACGGAAGTAGATTGCTCATTCTTCCCTCTGAGGAGTGGCTGGTGAGTTTGAACCACCAGCCTTCTGGTTAGCAGTCAAATGCCTTAGGCAATGCACCACCAGAGGTCGTAAAATCAGTCTCAGTGGGCCAAAATCAAGGTGTTAGTAAGGCTTCATTTCTTCTGGAGGCTGTAAAAGAGAATCTGTTTCCTTGCCTTTTCTAGCTTTTAAAGCCCATCCTGCATTCCTTGGATCATGGCCCCCTTCCTCCATCTTAAAAGCCAACAACATCTGCTTGAGACCTTCTCATGCTGCCATGTCTCTGCTTCTCCCTCTTCCACTTTTAAGGACACTTATGACTACATTGTTCTATCCAGATGCTCCAGTATTAACTCCCCATCTTAAGGCCGGCTGATGAGCAAATGTTATTCTATCTGCAACCTTATTTCCCCTTTCCCATGTAACCTAACATATTCACAGGCTTTATAGATTAGGATGAAGAAATCTTTTTTAAGGGGGAAGAGCCTTATTCTGGATACCACAGAAAATATTTGGTCAGTGTTAGCTAGTTTTTCAGAATTGAGGGTAGAGACCTTGGAAAAGACAGTTGGGTTTGAGATACACCTTTTTTAGGAAGTACCAGCTTAGAGAGAGTAACCAAAGGTGGCAGTGAGTGCCCCAGAGAGAGAGTACAATTTGACAAGAGGACTGAGGATAGAATTGTGATGATCACCAACATTTAAGTGGTAGTCCAAGAAAGAGAAGTGCACAAAGGAGACCAAGAACAGCCAGGAAGAACACCAGGAAAGAGAATATAGTGAATACAGGCATTCCCCAGCTTATGAATAACATCAGTTCCTAAGTGTGTCTGTAAGTCAAATTTGTAGGTAAGTTGAAATAGGTGTGTATAGTTCTTATTTAGCCTTACTTTAGCTCAAGGAGCTCTGGTGGTATAGTGGGTAAGCCATTTGGCTGCTACCCAGAAGGTTGGTGGTTTGAACCCACCAGCTGCTCTGCAGAAGAAAGATGAGTCAGTCTGCTTCTCAACTTTAGAGATTTATAGCCTTGGAAACCCAATGAGAGTTGCTATGAGTTGGAATCGACTCCATGGCAGTGAGTTTGGTTTTTTGGTTTTAGTGCAAGAAAGGAGATCTGGTGGCATAGTGGTTAAAGCATTTATCTGCTAACCAAAAGGTTGGCAGTTCAAACCCACCAGATTTTCCACAGGAGAAAGATAAAGCAGTCTGATTATGTAAAGATTTACGGCTTTGGAAATCCTATGGGGCAGTTCTACTCTGTCCTAAAAAGGGTCACCATGAGTTGAAATTGAGTCAGTTGCAGTGGGTTTGGTTTGGTTAGTGCAAGAAAAGCCTCAAAGCCTTTTCAGTAATTTAAAAGGTACATGTGCAGGAAGTGATGGTGGTTGAGATGAAGAGTTTGTTACAAGTAGGGGTTGGTTCATGAGTTTCAAAGTGAGGTAAATTTACATAACGTTAAAGGGCAAGTGCGATTACCCTATTGGAGGTTTGTAACTGGGAACTGCCTGTACTATTGGTTGTCTACTCAGCACTCATTCATCTCTGCTTCTTTGCCAAGAGAGTCTGTTCACACATTCACTTCACACAAAGAGCCATGGAACTCAGAAAAGGTGACTCCACCTTCAGTCAGTCAGTCCATGGCGTTTCTCTGGCAACTGTTGCTGTTCTAGAGGACATGTGACCTATGTTGGCCCCACTTGACAAGGACCTTCTTTCATGACTGTGAGGAGAGAGTCCTCCGTTTCTCTGGATGAGAACCAGGAAGCATGCTGTCCTAATTACTGCTGGCAGCTATTTATGATCATGAGGGCAACTAGTCTAACGATAAAGCTTATGCTGTGGATGGTAGAGCAGAAAGAAGCTGGGTCCCCAGTGATGCTCAGCCACTCAAACAACTGCCACAAGAGCCAGCTGACCATCTGAGCTTCCTATTATGTGAGATAAACTTTCTTATTGTTTAAACCAGTTTGGACCAAGATTCCTTTTACTTGCTGCCAAGAGCACCTTTATTGATATTAAATACCACCACAGAAACCTAGACAAGAGGGTTTTAAGGCTGGAAAGATCTACTCAGCCAAAAGCTGCAGAGAGGACAAGTAAAATAACTAAAAAGTGTAAAAATGGTGTGCCAGAGTTGTCAGACTTGTCTAACTGCACAAGCCAGGGAAGGAGAATCATAATCTGTATCTGTAGCCCAAAGCTGATTGCTGTGAAGCAGAGGTCAGACATACCTCCTCTCCCCAACCATTTTACCAGTTCTGACACCAGCTGCCCCTCCCATGGCGCACTCTGCTTCTCTGCTGGGTTTGATAATTTGTTGCATTGGCCACACAGAACTCACAGACAGTACTCACAATTAGGGACTTTATTAGGGAAAAAACAGGTTATAATTCAGGATCAGAAGCAACCAAGGATAGAGCTCTTCAACCAGCACAGCCTCTTCTCAGCCATCCCCACAGGCAGGCTTTGCTTTAGCCCTCGACCCCTCAGACCCTCACCCTTCCAGCCTCTTGGGCCTACCCAGCCTCTGCCCAGTTCAGACAAGTGTTGCAAAACTCTTTAGCTCAACCAATATGTTCCTGCAGGCACCCTACTCCACCAGTAAGCACTCTCACTCTGCTCCATGGGTCAGAGAGCCTAACTCAAACAAGTGCCTGGAGGTACCTCCTCCAACAAGCTTCCTGCCCAAAGGTGCTCAGCTACCTTGCTCCATGAGCTGGGAAGCCCCATGTGACATCTCCTGCCAGTCTCCTGGTTCTGCTGCTGCTATATCTCTGCCACTACTTCTCGTCCTCTCTTGCCGTCTCCAGTGTTACAACTGTCTGCCTCCTGAATCTAGGAGATTCCTAGTGCAAAGGCCACACTCTGCTCCTGTGTTGTTGTCTTGGTGGTAGTCACATGTACCCTGTCCATCTCTGGGATGGCTCATTTTAAGCCTAGCAGGATGGCAAAACTGACCAATCCCCTTGTTAGGGTTCTATATATCTTACTTGCATGTTCTACCCCACAAGCGTTGCATACATCTTATCTGCATTATTGGCAAGCTTTCCAGGCCTCCTGATGGGCCAAAAGCACCTCATTCACCTAGTCCTACCCAATCGTTTCATGAGAGTTACTAGACGATGGTGAGAAAAGCCGTATAAAAGTGATCCATCACACCACAAATATAGTTGAATAGCAGCAAAGAGATGGTTGGTGACTGTAAGGAGTGATATGTCAGTTGAGTGTGGGAGGTAGAGGCCATATTTCAGTGAGTGAGTAAACTGGAGGTGAGGAAAAGGCAAGGAGTTTGACTATGAAGGAAAGAAGAAAGATAAATTATTGTTGGGGGAAATACAGGGTAAAAGGAGTGTTACTTCTTAAATGTTTAAGGTAAGGATGATAAATAGGAAGGATGATAATGTACTGATAGGGTGCTTTGTGTTAGATACTACTAAACGTTTGATATACTGATGAATTTAATCCTCATAACACGTCTATGGAGAAGACATTGTTACGGCCAGCTTCCATATGAAAAAGCTGAGGCCCAGATGAATTAAAAGTGATTTTATAAAGGGCACATAGCTGAGAATTGACAGGTTCAAATCCAGGTCATTCTACTCTAATGCCCTGATCTTTGCTACTGTGTGTTCCTCCCTCAGATGCCAGTAGAGGAAGAGAGATTAAAGAAAGGAGGATAACTCACGAAGGGAACACTATCTAATACCTTAGAATATGTGTATAGTACAACCTTAAGTAAATGTAAAAGCAGATTACAAATTTGTTTCCATGGGGAAAAAATTGTATCCATATGACAGTTGACCCAAGCAGTCCTAGTGTGTGCTGCTTCTCCTTTGTTCTTTAGAATTGGTCCTTTAATAACCATCAGTTATCCTACATTTCTGTATATATTAAATAAGGTGTTATTTTTAACTGAAATATACCTTTGAACTTAGCCCTAGTTGACATTTAAGATGTATGTAATTTTGATATTTGCCTGAAGTACTGATGTTGGACAAGGGAGAGCACTTAACAGTATGCATGGTGCCAGATGTGAAGTAAAGTCCAGATCCACTGGAATTGTTTTGAGGTTCTGGGCAAGTGTCTTCTATCAAGAGTAATAAGAGTTTACCAGAGGCAGCTAAGCTGAGGCCACCACGGCCAAAGTGAGGAAGCCAAAGCTCTCTCTGATTATTTGATTATCATAAACTCCCAGCTTGTTAGGTCATTTGAGTTATGGTAGTGTGGAGGGCGGAGTGTACA